TACTCTCATCTTGGTTTTCTTTTCCAGGATGTTGTCTAATAGAGTCTTGATTGTCTGTTCTGGTTAGATGTCTATCTTTAATCTTGCATTTGACACAAGTTGCATCGGAAGAATGTATCACAAAAATTGTTATCGTAACGATGATTATTACCTTCAACATTCCTAAAATTTAAATAAGACAAAGATATAACATTAAATTATTGTGAAGACTAATATATTGATTCTTTAGGTCTCGGTGGAATATTGATATTAAACCCTGAACAAAATTATGGAATATTTTGATATAATAGATATAATCTATTATATTTGCCAATTGTTATAACTTCAATAATATTTTCATGAATTTAATTAGTTCAGTTTCAAAACAATTTTTCCATGACAATTACAAAATATTCCATACTTTTGTTCAGGCGTTGTATTATTTTTAATAAATATTTCTTATATATGATTTTAAAAATATACAAAATTTTTGTTTAATGCATATTTGTTAATTTTATAATAAATGACATTAAGAAATAATAAATAAATATATTAATAATACAAATAGACGTAATATACATCATCATCATTATCAAAAGTTTTGAGAATGTTGCAAAATAGAATTGAAATTCTTGTGTTTTAAATAAAATAATACTTGCTAGTAAAGTTTAAAATACAATTGTAATTGGTAAATATAGGCAAAATATTTTATAATATTAAAGTAGAGAGAAGATCTTAACATTATAAAAGACAAAAAATCTAAATTTAATTAATATTATTTATACGGATTTTATAAATGATTTTATTTATCCTTTTATAAATTAATTTTAATAAATATAAAGCAGATAAACACAACATAAATTTAAAAGTAATTTAGTAGTATATAACTAGAAAACTATAACTATATAAATATAGTTTGTTATAACAAATAAAAATGAGTTTATGTATTTTGTTTTTTTTTCTAGTAAAACTAATAAAAAGAACTTCGTTTTTAACTAACTTTGAAATCTAAAGCTTTCATAAACATAAACATAAACATAAACATAAATATGGAAAATATTCTATTTTCCATGTTTATGAAAGTTAGACAGTAATATTAATAATTTCAAGTACAATGACTGACCGTATTTACATATTATAACGACGTAGAAGAAAGAGAAGACAAAGAATAGTTTACAGTTAAACTTATAAAAAAGACAATAGTAAGATAATGGAAGATACAGCAAAAAAATTGATAATTTAATTAGTAATTCAATTTAAACATTGAAGAAACTAAATCTTTACACTTTTATCATGTCCAATCACCAGCAATAAACAGTCTTCCCTTAAAGAGACGACTTTTTATTATAGGCTATTTTTTTAACATTATAATATATAATATTATAATAATTTTAAATATTAATAT